CATGTAATGCTTCTGCCAACACTGCCGTCCATGGGCTGACAGAATGCCTCATCTGCTGTCACTGTGTTTCTACACAGCATTGCTCCTAATTAAGGATTGCACCTCAAAGCCAAAGAAGTATGGCCATGGGCTCATGCTCGTGGAATTCACTGGTCTCACCATATTCCCGTCATCTAGAAACAACTGGATTGATAAAATAGTGGAATACCTTTTGAAGTTGCATATACAGCACCAGCTAAGTAGCAATACCTTGCAGTGCTGAGGAAAAGTCCTCCAGAAGTCTAATATTCTCTGATTAGCATTTGGTGTAGTTTGAATCTAACATAGATATGAAGTCTAATATGTCTGGAAGGTGATGTTTGGAATGTGTTGTGACCCTGGGGGCACTATACTCATCAAGTTTCATTCATTGATGAACTAACGGCATATTCCTCTGTCCCCCACCCCTTCTTGCTTTCTGGATATCATAAAGTGGGTAGCATTTTTCCACCAGACTCTTCTATCCAGGGTTTCCCCTTGGAGTCTGCTAACTATGTATTGAACCTGTGAACGATTGTACCTGATCATGTGGTTCAAAGCCTTTAGAACTATTCTGTGGGAGGAGTTTGAAAAGGTTTAGAGATGCTGGCTAAAAACATCTTAGAGTGCTGTAAGCAAAAATTAAATGAGGGAATCAGGCTGTACCAGAATTCTAGTAAGAATATAGGCAGTAAAGTCCAGCTACAGGATTTAATGTTTGCCCTGCTGATTTTCAGTTTTTGTTTTTGCCTTTTCTTTTTATTCCTTCCTTTTGGAAGGTGAATATGTATACTGTGTCCTTATATGTTAGAGATTTAACTTTTTTTATTTTTACAGCAACTCCTTGAGTCTCAGAAACTTTGGACTTGAACTTTTCAGCAATGCTGGAACTGTTAAGACTTGGGCAACTCTTAGAGACATACTAAATACATTCTGCATAATGAGGTGGATAACAGTCCTTGGGGGCAGAATATTATGGTTTAGAGCTAAGACCTCATGTGTTTTGAAGGTGATTGGACCACAGTAGTGAACTCATCAGAGGATTCATCTGTTGATAAGTTCCATAGCTGAATGTAGTTAGGAGGTGGGGCCTAGCTGGAGCTTTGTCACTGGGAGAGAGATTAGAAAAGCTGTGTTCTTGTCCATACCTACTCCCTCTTCTCACTGCTTCCTGGCCATCATGAGGTAGGCAGCTTTCCTTCACCCTGGAAGTTTCTGCCTTTGAGCCTTCCCATCACAAACTCAACCTACTGAAACTGTGAGCCAAAATATACCTCCTCTTAATTTGTGGGTTTGAGGTACTTCTTCCTGACAGCAAGAAGGTGACTGATTCAGAGTTCAATATATGGTTCTGTTTTACCTACAGCCATGATTCATGGGTCCAGGAATCAAGGGCAGAAATGGGAGTGGTACCACTCAACATTACCCCTAGTGACCCACTAGCAAAATTTTTGCTTCCTATTCTTGTAAGCTTTCACTCTTTTAGCCTAAAAAGTCTTAGTACCAGAGGAGCAAAGGCTTCTGCCAGGAAGTGTAACAGTGATTCCACTGAACTGGAAGCCAAGGCGTCCCTTTGGCCATTTTGGATCCTTCATTCCTCTGAGTCAGCAGCCTAAAAAGAGAGTTAAGTGTTGGTGGGGGTGATAAATCCAGACAACTAAGAAATAATTGGACTTCTACTCCATAAAGAGTTTTATAGTGTGCAAGAGATCCTTTAGGCTATTTCCTAACCATGCCCTGTTATTAGGGCCAGTGGGAAACTACAAATATCCATATGTATGCTGATAGTTGTATCATGTTAGGCATAATAATGAATACATTGTATTGGAGATTAAATATGGCTGGTTGTTAAGTTGACATGGTTGGATTGTGACCTTTAATCATATGTCAACTTGACTGGATCAAGAAATATTTTATTTAACATGTTAGTAAAGCACATTTCTGTGTGTGTCTGTGGGTGTTTCCAGAGATGATTGGCATGTAGGCTACCAAACTAAGGAGAGCAAGACCCACTCTGGTTATGGGTGGCACCAGCCAGTAGGATTTTTAAAGTGAATGAAATAAAAGGGAGAGAAGAAACAAGTTGACATACTTTAAAGAAAGAGCTCCATTCTGCTTGAAGAGGTTTGTTTTTTACTGCCCTTTTCTGTTGATGTTAAGAGTCCAGCCTTTTAATGAAAAATCTTAGTAGCAATTTTCTAGGAAGTTTCAGGCCTTTGATCTCCAGCTGGAGATCTGTCTTTTTCTGTGGTTTCCAGTTTCTGTCAGTTATGCTCCTCTAGAGAACCCTCACCACCGATATAACATTTTTATGGAGAGGGGCATTATTTCACAGTGAAATAAATACATATGGCATCACAGTCCATTGGGATATAGCCACTGAGATTTTTGCAAACTGTTTCCATTTTAAAACAGTGTGTGTCTGTTTAGGCTGCTATAGTGGAATGTCAACTGGATAGCTGCTAACAAATGCCTCACAGTTTATGAAGCTGGGAAATAAAAAGTTTTTTAAAAAGGCTCCCTCAGTCTTCTTTTATAAGGGTACTAATTCAGTTATGAGGAGTTTGACCCCACAATCTAATCTCATTCTCCTAGGTTTAGAAATTCTACCTAGGAATTTGGTGGGGTGGGACACCCAAACTTTCAGAGTATAATAAGAGTGTTACTCAAAACTTTTAGATGAAAAACTCAATGAGGTTAATAGTTTGCCCAAGATACATTCAATGATAAAATTCAAATATTTGGACAATACTGCATTTCTTTTTGTTTGTTTGTTTGTTTCATGTCTCTCAGAAAACCGCACAAGGTTGAACTGTAGTGGTGAATATAGAAGAGCTATTTTACTGGAAATGAGAAATAAGCTTGCAGGCTTGGGTAACAGTGCCCCCTCATGAAATGTGCTTGGCTGGTGTATTCTAGCTTCTGACTAAATGCTCATTTCTGTGATGGAGTCCCCCAAAGAAAGACAAACACTCTTAAAATTACATATTTCAATCAGAATTTCTTTTGGGAGTGTTGTCCCCTTTCCTCAGCTTGGTTGTAAATTGGTTGTTCTTGATCATATAATTACATTGAGCATTAACAGTGTCTTTATCATTTTATGCTGTATATGTATATTGCCATTTATGGGATTTAAATTTTGATCAGTAAACATTCACTACGTGTATTAATGGTTAATGATGTGAAACAGTACAAAGAGATGGGCGGACTGTGAAGATGAATTTATTTCTTAACTGCACCTTCCCCTTCCAGTATCCTGGCAGGATAGCACCAAATCATTACAAACACTGATTTTAAAGTCTGCACTTCTTCCCCTTCCAGCATTGTGTGCTCTGTACCCTCAGCCTGATGCTGACTCCCATTTTGCCTCTATCCTAGATCTCAATTGCGATCTGCTAATCTGGGTTATTTTTGGACCTCTTGGTTCATTTAATCCTCCTAAATTGAAAATCAAAAAGATAAGCGATTTTCTATAAGCTGTATACCTAGAAATTAGAGACCTTTGTTTAAAGAGAAAACTGTAAAGTGTTCCTCTTGAAAGAGGGAAATAGGACTCTAGTTAACAAGTATTACATGTATGTAATATAATATAAACCATAACTTAATACATGCTTGCCTTAAGGTTAAAAGTTCAAAATGGAGAAGAGTAATAAAGGAAAATGGTGGGAAGAGACAAAGCAGGCAGAAAGATAAGATGAGGTCTGGCTGCATAGACCCTGTTAGGGGGTAGCCACTGGAGGTTTCTGTGGTGTCAGTCTCATAATCACACTTGCAAGTGAGAATACACCAAATATGCAACTCCTTGAAAGTTGAAACCAAGTTGGAGCTGGTGATAAAAATATGCCACCATTTTGTTGGCTAGCCTGCTGGAGAAAACCTTTGTTGGTACAAGCTGGAATACTCATTTGACCTTTTGTTTATCCCCATCTGAATTTCTTTGGGGGTTAATTTGGCCTTTCCCTGGAGACAAATGTGACAAAAGGTTGGGAAGAGCAGGAACAGAGTTCTGAATTTTCAAGAGCACCAAGACCTCATCTGCAAGCACGGTGGCTTTAGTGCCAGCTGCTGTCCCTATTTAGCATGTGGTGGTTGAAAAGTAACAGGTTAATTTTGGTTAGTAGGTATATCACCTGTATAACAGAACCAGTAAAATGATTTCTTGATAACTGTCCCCGACACTCTCAGCCCAGGAAAGGACATCAGATTATGTACTTTCTCATGTTGGCTTTTCTATGTCCTGACCCTCAATACCCCTCACCTCTTGGGAAAGTTGGGAACTGTCTCTCCTTAATTACTCATGAGTCCTAGTTTAGGAAAAAATTAATGTACATACAAATAGTTTATTCTGGAAACTTGTAACAAATTTCTGGCACTGGGTTAATTTTAGCCTCTTTTGTGGATTCAAAAATGTTTTACCAAAAAGCTTGAACTAGGAGAGTAGATAATTGATTTCAGCTGGTAGGGGAACAAGCTACGTGGCAGAGGCAGATTCCCAAATGTGACAAATTCTGAAAGTAACAAAGCAACCATTGTTTTAAAAATATATGTTTTTAAGATAGGGAAATTTGGATATCTGAGTGGAAGGTTGAGATTTGCAACCATGAGAAAGCTAACAAAACAAGATGAAATCTTGGAAGTTGGTCGATCTGAGTGGTGGGAATGTGGTGTTTATCCTGTGATCTTCTGCATCTGTGACTAGGGTGTTTACCCGCCTTCCTGAGGCGATGGTCAAGTTGTGCCTACCGTTCAAAGTCATCACACTTTAATTCCTGTTGCATAGCACATTGTCACCAGCCCATAGCCAGTACAGCCAGATACCACGTGAAGCTGCTTTATTAACAATTGCCTTCATTTTATCCAGAGCTATTATATGAAGACCAAGATGTTAACCTAGGTACAGTTGGTTCACCAGCCCTTGGAAGATGGAGATGTAGCTGTTTTTTAAAAAACAAAACAAAAACTTGACTTTATTTTTTCTGTAGGACCACCAGCAGGCCTCAGACCTTCTATGATGGGAGTCATTCCTGTGCCAGGGGAGTGTGCCATATTCCAGTGGCTGAGCCATTCTGCCCCAAAACAAGAGAGGTTTGTAGTCTTTCTGAAAGATACAGCAGAAGAGCTAGATCGTGAATGACACAAGCAACTAGATCACTTGGCTGAGCAAGTGGTCCCTCTTCCTCCCTGAGTTTACTTTTTTTTTTTAGATAGGTTCTCACTTTATAGTTTAGGCTGTCCCTGAACTCATTATGTAGCCTCAACCACCAGGCAATCCTCCTGTCTCTGCCTCCTGAGTTCTGGGATTACAGGCATGCGCCACCACACCTGGCTCAAGTTTGCTTTTTTATGCAAAGTTTTATGAACTGTTGTTTCCCTCTGTAATAATGCCTCTAAATTGCAACCTACCTTTTTTGAGAAGTTTCAATTTTACTGTCAGGATCCCTTTCAAATATTTTGATGTTGGATGGTGTATGAGTAAAGAGTGGACATTCTCAGCCCGATCATTTGGGGTCAGGTCTGCTCTCTTCAACTTAAATACTGGATGTAATTGAGCAAATGATTCAGTATCTCTGGGCTTCACCAATCTCACTGGTCAAATGGAAGTAATGATAGAGTGCACCTCCTAGAACCATGTGCGGAATTACAGAGGTAATGCAGAGAGTACCTTGCATTGTGCCTGTCAGTAACGGAACATCTAATGTCTAATAACTGCTTTTATGAATTAAATTATTATTGATAATCTAAATGTGGTAAGATTGGCATCTTTTGCTCTGACATGAGTATGTCCATTACTGTGTAACTTTTTCTCCAGCGTTATATCAGAAGTACAGTGGCAGCTGCATAAGGGCCAGTGATGATACTTTATAAGGTGAAGTATCTCAGTCTGAATTTCGAGAGACTAATGTTCACCACAGTTCAAAGGTCCACTGCTTAGTCCATATGTGCTACTTTCTTTACAATCTTGGGATTAAAAGACAAGTACAACCCAAAAGATCAAAAGTATTCTCAAACTTCTTAATAAATTCTCCTTTTAAGTTAACTTACAGAATGTACCTACCTGAACATGTTATTCATTCAGGTAATTTAATACCACATATAGAAAGTAGACAATTTCTTTTAGCTTTCACATCAGTCCTATGTAATGTTGGGAAACCAGTTTCATTGTAGCTAATGGCAGGGACACTTTAACCTTACTCTGGTGTCAAAGAAATAGACGTCAGATCTGGGAGTGCATGGGGCAAGTGAGCATTTCATATGTACTATTGTACATCACTCCTCTGTGATGTCTGTGAGAGTTCATTTTTCACTTTTTTTTTTTAATGATGGATAAAACTGGGTGTGGTGGTGCTCTCCTATAATCACAGCACTTGGGAGGCTAAGGCAGGAGGATCACCATCAATTCAAGGCAAGCCTGAGCTATGTATCAACATCTTGTCTCAAAATCCTAAGGGAAAAGGAAAAAGATGAGTGAAGTCTGCATTTGTGTATATAGTATGTTTCTGGATTTTTGTCAGCAGAAGATAGCAGAATTATGCTAGTCTTACCTCTGAAACAAACATCTGTCCAGTACAAAATGAAGTGTGAGTAAAATTTTGTCCATTTGTTCCTGGGGGCAGCTTGGGAAGAAACAGTCTGAAGAGAGAATACAATATGCATGTTCATATGAAATCTAAGATCTGTTACCAGGCAGAAAGTTGTGACTTGGAGAACTTGGACTAGATATAAGTAGGAAGTGCTAACAATCTACATAAAGCACTTGTCACTGTGACACTAGAATGTTAATTTCTAGTACTATAATTTAGCCTCCCATGATACTGAAGTAATTCAAATAATAATTAATAATGAGAATTATCCAAGTGAGAGACCACCCCCCACATAAAGACTGAGAGAACACTAGGGAAGGCAGTTGAAGAAAATGGCAAAAATAAACTTTCAGATATTATTTTTTTCTTATATATTCTAATAGAGATTTTAAACTATTATCCAAAAATGTAAAAAGTGGATGATTTTGCCACTTTCAACACCAATGTAATCTTTCACATAGTTATTCATTCATATGGAAGGATTATCACAATGTCATTGTTAAGTGGCAAGCAAGTAGATAAAATTTTTGCCATATACTACCATTTGTTAAAATCTGTATATGTTAAAAAACGGATGTATTAATATTTATATAAAAATAGAGTTTCTAGAAAGCTAACCAAAAAACTTGTAACAGTGCTTTTTTTCTTGGAGAGGTTTCCTAGAAAAGGGTGGAAGGAATATTTCAAAATAACATCTTTCTGCACTAGTATTGCATATTCTGAGAATGATGTCACTCTTAGTCATATTAAGAGATAAACTGATTGCTCATGCATTATATTTAGACTGCTGATCTAATATTGTATTGCTTGTCCCCTTGTGAGGATTATGGTGGTTTCAGTAGTACCATTATGATTACTTAAGACAAGAAAATGAACTCATCTTACCCTCAGAACTGGGGTTTGACCCTGTAGTTTGTTTTATCTGTTATTCTGGGAGCACACAGTGTTGGCTTTCTTGGTGAGGCCCCCAGAGTCTGTTGCTGTGGCCAGTCTGAATCCATAAACCTCGATTTCCTCCTCCACACAAGCATGGTACCCACCTCCCAGAGTGATGAGGAAGACTTATAGGCTCACTCTTTGCACATAACTACAACACTGAAGCTTAGCCAAGACACACAGGTCCATTATTCTTTAGATACTCAGTGAAATCTTAATTTAGAAAAATCAGAGGAGGAGAGGAGGTAGGGATTTGCATTTATAACCTATACCCTTTAGTGAATGTTTTGATTGAGCATCATCTTATTTTCAGTAGTTATAAAATAAATATGTCACATTAACTGTCCTTTGTCTACTGCTTGTGATGGTTCTAAATTTGGAGTTAACAAGGCTCTTAGTAAAATTGTTTTTCCAGCTGCCATGGCATACTATGAGTTATTTGTAAGGAAATTAGTTAATTTGCTTATGTAGTTAAGAAGCACAGATACAATTTTGGCCTAGATTAGAACCTCGTTTTGTTTGATTTTGAGTCATTCAGTTTTGTATGTCTCCTATTCCAGGGACCTTAGCATTTATAAAGTGTTTTCAGTGTTTCCAGCACAATTTTGTACTGTTGTATACCTTAGCTCATTTAATCGTCATGATATCTGTCGTATCTTTGAAACATACAATACTATTTGTATTTTACAGATGAGAAAATTGAGGCATACAGAGGTTAAGTGACTTTTTTTTTTTTTCCTCTGATACTGGGGATTGGACCTAAGGTTTTTGTACTTAGCTACATCTTCAGCCCCTTTTTATTTTTTATTTTGAGACAGGGTTTCTCTGAGTTGATAAATTAGCCTTGCTGGGCTTGAACGTGAAATTCTGTCTCAGCTTCCCAGAGTCCTGGGATTAAAAGTGTGTGCTGCTACCCTCAGCTAAGATTTAATTTTTTTTAATTAAAAGGTAAGGCATGTACTAAGACAAAAATTAATAACCTCAAAATAGACTTGCTTTATTAATTAAAACACTAACAAAATGATCTCACTTTTTAATGTTTCTAAAAACTTGTACATGGCCTTGCTATTAAAGGAGTACCAAGGTAAGTTTTTCCTGGACAAAAATTATTAGCACAGTCCTATTCTCATTTCACTATATGGCTTTGAAGCAACAATAGGCAAAAGAGAAATCAGTTTCTTACCACAGAAAAGCTTATATAAACTGCAGATTTGGTATAAAAGCAGTGAACTTAGCTTCTCAATACTGTGGGATATCGAACTCAGCACATGACAAGAGGCACCTCAGCTTAGTTTGAAGATCAAGAGCTAAGACAAAAGTCTGAATCCACAGACAAGCTTGAATTGAATGGATTAAGCGTAATTGCACAGAGAAAGGTCCATTCTTTCCCTTGTAGCTGTGACTGTGTGCAGGGAGCTGAGAGAACAGTCTTGTGTAAAGCGAGTCAGGGGCTAGGAAATACCTTTCTGTGGTCTTTCAGGCTCTCTAACAATGTTATACTGAAAAATCTGCTTGAAGTTATTAACTTGATAAATATCCAGGAAAATAAAGCCTTAAATTGAACGTATGTCTGTGTGTTTTGAGTTTGTGATTCTTCCCCTTCCAGGTCCTCATAGAGACCTCTAAGAAGCTGGGACTGCGGTGCCACTCGAAGGGGACGATGATCACAATTGAGGGACCTCGTTTTAGCTCCCGGGCAGAAAGCCTCATGTTCCGCATCTGGGGAGCAGATGTTATCAATATGACCACAGTTCCAGAGGTAGTTCTTGCTAAGGAGGCTGGAATTTGCTATGCAAGCATCGCCATGGCAACCGATTATGATTGCTGGAAGGAGCACGAGGAAGCAGTAGGTGGAACTCACTTCTGAGCGTGTCTAGCATGGGCTTCAGGGTGGCTTGAGTCATGGATGTCTTAATTATTTCTTTTATGTTTGTTTCAGAGAGTACCTTTCTACAAGGTTTTTGTCATTAGGTATTACCAAATATTTCCTATAGCTCCCATCAGAAGATAAGAATAAAGACCTTCGTAGGGAAAGAGGGAAAAAGAAGACACTTTATCCAAGAATCAATAGGGAATGGTAACTGTAGCCATGCAGATGTGTTGGGAATCACAGTGAGGCCTTATTTTAAGGATAATGGTGTAGTTTAATAGTAACGTCCTTGTGTTGTGCTATGCTACTGTTTATTGTTTTCTGGGGGAAATAAAAACTATTACCTCGTCTTATAAGAAGACTAATATCACTTCGTACCTGTTTGAGCTACGATGGCAGGGTGCTGTGCTCAGTATGGGAACTGTCATAGTTAACAGACAAGTCTTGGTTCTTTAGAGTGAAGCAGAGCTTGAACAAACCAGTGTTGGAAAGCTAAGTATTATGAAGAAATAGTATGGTGCGTACAGGAATATCAGTCTACTTGAATTTAAAGTCTGAAAAGTCTTCCTGGGTTTAAGTGTGGTGAAAAGTGGGGGCACTGATAAGAGGGGGAAAGGAAGCGAGCAGTGGGATACAGCAGGCAGTAGGGAGGCCAGTGAGGGAGGGGTTTTAGGAAAGGAAGATAGTAGAATCCAGCCAGAAATTGAGGATACTCTTAACAATGACATCAGACTGCAAAAATAAACACTTTCATTATGGAAAACTTTAAATATCCATGAAACCCATCAGCCAACTTCCACAATTATGACCTTGGCTGATCTTGTGTCATATTTATGTCCCTACCCATATCTCCCTCCCCTCCCCTCATTTTGAAGGAAATATTTTTCTAAAAGCACTCCCACCCCTTTTTAGTAAAAAAAGAACATAGCCGTAATATACTGTACCCGAAAGCTGATAGTGGTTTCTTAATCTAATCATATATCTAGACTGTTCACATTTTCCTTACAATTTTTAACAGTTCAGTCAAATCAAGATCCCTTGTAGCCAAGGATTTAGCTCAGTGGCACTGTGCCTGCCTTGCAAGCACAAGGTCCTGAATTTGATGCCCAGTACTGGGTGGGGGGGAATGAGGGTCCCTTGTAATACATTTATGTTAATGATGTGCCTCAGGTGTATATTTTAACCTAACATTTCCTTTCTTTTTTTCACTCCTTGTCTTTTACTTGAAGAAACTAGATGATCTGTCTAGTCATTTGTCTCATTTTAAAATAAAGGAGCAAAAGTACAAAGAATTTTGAAGGAAGAAGTATAGCGGTAACTAAGCACATTTAGGGCAGGTGACATCTTTAAAGAAACCCTTACACCATCTCAGAGAGTTGTTTCATCACCCAATTGCTCATAAAGCAAGGCAAAATATTCTTGCCATCTGTGTGCCCCATGTGCACACTGTTTGGGGGCATAGATGGACACAGGTTACTTTTCATAAATTTCTGGCTTATCCTGACTCCTCCGTGTAATTAACTATTAAGTATTAAAATACTGAGGCACAGGTGATTTACAAAACCTGGCTTTTGGTCACACAGTAATACGCCGGCAGCTTCGTAACCTGCCCAAGTTAAGTGATAGCCCAGGCTCATGATACTGAGCAGCTGCTTCCAAATAATAGAAACTCCAGCCCCTGCCACCCCCTTAGAGCAAATCACATTCTGCCTATGGCTTTCTGCTCGATCTCCTTTGCAGAAGCAGCAGTGATGTTCTTTAATAAGGATGAAGATTAGAAGGCAGTCAGTTACTTTATTCAAAACTAGTGAAATTAAACTCTGTAATGCCACAAGGAAGAGACATAAGGATGGTGTCAGCTCAGCAGCAGTGTGTGTCATTGTGCTTTAAACCAAATACATGACCTGGCATGGCAAGAAGGTTGGAGTTGCCTAAACTCATTTTCATTTGTAATGGCTCCAATTTACTTGTGACACTAGGCAATTGATTTATCATGTTTACTCCTCTGTGGAATGAAACCAGGGTTGAGAATGAGTGATGGGAGTTGTTTAGTTACAATCCTGACCTTGCAATATTACCTGGAGAATTAAACTAAATGATATTTGTAGAACAATAAATGTAGTGCTGGTTTGTAGCCACAATAGAGTTGGGGAGAGGTGTCATATCAGGGAAGAGTTTGCAAAGAACATAACTTTTAGACGTAAGCTGAGTTTTGTCTAGGAGGTGAGATTTTACTGTGACTCATAGGGTCAATAGGAAGGGAGTTTTGGGTGGAGCCCAATGCAAGAACAAAGAAAAGTGTCTGTATCTTTTTCACAGGAAGTGTATAAAAATAAGTAAAAATAGATAAATCTCTTGGATGCTTCATGTCCGTGCATGTAGTAACTGAAGAGTTGACTATGCTCTTACGTGTACTTGGTAAATATCCAGCCAGCCCCTTATTTTGTGTTCCACAATAGTGAGAACTTCCCTCTGCTGTTGTGCTCACATTATCTTCTTAAACTCTTCTCAGTTTTTGTGGAAGCAGCCTGGACTTATACTTGAAGTAGAACGGTATAATCACTGTGCCCATGAATCTTAGATTTCTTCTTAGCATAGTAAAGCATAAGTATTCTGTCTCTGGCAGTCAGTTTTATAGTCATAACTTCTTTCAACTTTTTCTTGTGAAGCAGTTTCAGTCACATCTAAAAGTAGACAGTGGTATAAGTATCCATGAGTCCCAACATCCACCGTCCACCATTATTATATCAACTTACAGCCAATCATGTTTGATCTGTACAGTCATCCATAATTTTAATCCAGAAACATTCAGGAAGTATCTAATATAATCACACTTATTACCGTATTCTAACAAAAATTCCTTAATGTACCTGGACAAAATTCAAGTTTCTAGTTAAATGTAATAAATTATGTGTTTTTCTTGCAGGTTTTCTATAAGGAAACCAAAGCCCTTGTGTTGTTGAGCTTCCCATAGTCTGAATTGCTAATAGCTTCTCTTGAGAGCGATTTGACTATTTTTCCTCTTTGTTGTCTATAAATTAGTAGATGGATCTACAGATTTGAACAAATTCAGTTACCTACCTGGAAGCACATAGTGTAATTAGTGGTGTTTTGTTTTGTTTTGGAGGTGGATTGGCTGATTATTTTGTGAACAGCTAATCTATTAGTTCATTGGGAGGCATAAAAATGGGGATAATATGATTGCATACTTTTTATTAGCTAGAATACTGTTAAAAGAGAAAATACTTACCTATTTGGTTAAAGTGGCAACAATCTTAAGAGATGAACTCATTGTTCTTGTACCTGGAGAAAACAGCTGCATTTCTCAACCTTGCTACCTAACCTTGCTGAGATATTTTCTCAGAGACTGCTTAAATTGTTGGTGCTTCTCAGATATCATTGGGTTTCTCCAAGATTTATACCCAAGACTAAAATCATCTTTCTTTGTTTTTTTTTGTTTGTTTGTTTGTTTTGTTTTGTTTTTTGGTACCAGGGATTGAACTCTGATCCTTGTGCTTGCAAGGCAGGCCACCGAACTGCTGAGCTAAATCCCCAGCCCTAAAACCATCTTAATAAATGCAGTTTTTGGACTCTGATTAAATTTGGACTAAGGAGACTTTATAGATCACATTTGTCTTAGTCTGTTTGGGCTGCTGTAACAAAAAAATCTCATATGCCAGGCAGCTTCTAGACAGAAGTTTATTTTTCACCGTTCTAGAGGCTGGGAAGTCCCAGTTCTAATTCAGTGTCTGAGGAGGGCCCATTTCCTCATAGCCATCTTCTCAGAGAACCTCACATGGCAGAGGAGTGAGAGAGCTCTCTTTGACCACTAATTTTATTCATGGGGGCTCTGTGCCTATTTATGACCTAAACACTTCCTAGGTGTCCCACTTCTGAACATCTTCACATTGAGAGTTAGGTTTCAATTTATGAGTTTCGGACGAACACAGACATTCACACCAGACCAGTTTGGAACTCAGGAAAATGTTCTGTAAATAGCAATGGACTTTTAAATTCTAGTAATAGCCTGTGCTCTTTGTTTTTTTTTTTTAGGTTTCAGTTGATCGAGTTTTAAAGACTCTGAAAGAAAATGCTAATAAAGCCAAAAGTTTACTTCTCACTACCATACCTCAGATAGGGTCCATGGAATGGTCAGAAACCCTCCACAACCTGAAGGTAAGTGTCCTTTGCTGTGTGCATATAGGTATTTTAAGGACTTTGACCACTTTTTTTTCTGACTTACACTTCACCCTTGGTCCAGCTCCTCATAGATTTTATACAAACCTGGATTCCTTTTTTTTTTCACCAAGTTTTCATGCCATTTACTTCCATACTTGTAAAATTGAGCAATGATATTTTCTGGCTGGTAATGCAAGGCCATTGGAAGCTGGGGTGAGGGGAGTTTTATATCTAGTGCCCTAGATTCTTCATATTGTCCTAGAGGCCATCTCTAGGTCTCACTCAGAAGCCTGATATTTCTTACTCTCCATATGACTTACATTGTTGTCAGAAGTATTTTCTCTTTGTTAGATCCATGCAAAGTGTTGGCAAGCCATTTAAAGCCAGAATTCTTACATAGCAATACCAAAATGTTGCCAAGGAATATCTGCGTAAGGTCATTGTTGCGTCAGACTAAATAATTATAAGCATGACACAGGTTGCATATTGGTAGCTTTCATAATTCCCAGAACATAATTTAAACTGACTGCTAAGCTCAGAAATGCATGATATTCTTTATACATTTTGTGACTCTCTTGATTAACTGAATTGATAAAATATTGCCTCAAATTGTTCATTTATTGCATTTATCATAATACCCCAAAAGGGGTATAGCTTGAAGTCTCCCTAGAGCACACTTTTGGGTCTTGTGACAATAACTGACAGAGAATTTGAAGAGTTAGTAGAAACCCTCCTTAACCTGAATTATCACCTATGAACTCAGCTTTTAGTGTGGTGAAAACACTATGTAGCTTTGATATGTAGCATTTGCTAACTACATGTTATAAATGCTCCAGCATAGCCCATTTAAGAACCTACATGGAGATACTCAAGTTGGGAAGTAGCCCTTGCAACTGGTACAAGTAACTAAGGTGTCTCACCCTTTAGAACTCACAGTCAGGAATGTTAAAATTTATAATCCATCTTCCCTACTAGGAAACACATTTGTTGCTTTTAATACTTCATACCTAGGAGATAAATGTTATTTAATATAAATATTTAATGAATACACGATAGCCCCCTTTCTCCCATGTTTCATCATAACTGAGGTACAGGAAGCTCTTATTCTAATTATAAAGAAAAAGGAAACAAAAAAGAATTGTGTAGAAACAGATGGATTTTTTAGTTTCTATTTTATAAGCAGTTCCATTCAGCTGAGTGTATACTGAACATAGTGTAGGACAGCACAGCTATAGCTTGTCTAGCATTCACCTGTTGGTTCTTTGGAAACATGACTCTTGATTTTGCTGCTGCACAGACAGTTAACCAACAGCAAAGTATGATGCAGAAGTGCTTTTTTTTTTTTTTTTTTTTTTTTTAAGTCTCCACTTTCACCATAATCTCTTTAAGAGTTAAAGATAATTTTTTTAAGTAAAAATGCTTAGATAAGGTAAATCAGTGTTTCTTTTTTTGAAACTTCTGAATTGTACATGAAATCATGTTTTTACATACATGCATTTTTAGTGGGGGCTGGTAGTTTTCATCAAATTGTCAGAGTTGAGAGAAAATGAATTGCTACTGTAGACAAAATTGAACATTATAACCTCTGTTCTGGAGCATTAAGGAAAACCATACTAATAATTTCTTTTTCTGGATAGTATTGTTAGTCTTCTAATCACTGAAATATATATCATTCATCCACTCAGTTCATTTTAGAATGACTTATGTGTCTACTGTATGTCGGTTTCTAGTTTGGAAAGATTGGGCTGGGGATTTAGCTCAGTGGTTCTGCTGCCGGCCTCGCAAGCACAAGGACCCAAGTTTGATTCCCAGTACCCCCCCAAAAAAAAAAGGTTTGGAAAGATACACAGACTTTGGTGATAATTTTACAAAATCAAAATCTGGTGTTTTCTGTTGTGTTTCGAATCTGGTATTTAACAGGCACTCCAGGCAATTAGTGTGCTCCCCTACCTACACAGCTCATAATCTCTGCCTATTTTTTTCCTTTCAGAATATGGCTCAATTTTCTGTTTTACTACCGAGACACTAAAACAGCATGGCTGCCTAGAAGAAAAGACGACTTCCTCATTTTAATCATTTTGGGAATTGTACTTAACTTAAAGGAAGAAAGAATAGGAAAGACGTTCAGCTTTCATGCCCTTGCCTGTAAAAGAAGAATGTGTAGTAAGAAAGACAAGACAGTGCATGTTAGAGACTCCACCTAAAAGACTTGGCCTACTTGGAAACACAGAAGAAAGGCAAATGGACAGCAGACATGGGAGGAATCTTTCATTTTAGAGAAAACTTAAGCAGATAACATTCTCTTTCCCTCCTATTAAATTTAAAACAATAAAAGCTGAGGATAATACCCAATTTCCTATGCTACCAGGGAATGTGAGGAAAAAATGGGACTCTTTTATTTGTGTGACTAAATTGGTACACTCTTTCTCAGGAGAAGTTTGGTAAAATGTCTCTGAAGGCTGAAAAAATATGTATGCACTTTGTGGATCCCTTCTAGGAATTTCTCTTTAAAAATGTGCCAGAATACATACAAAGAACTGTGTATAAAGAAAGGTTTTATTAGTGTTAGTTATAATAGCGAGTATCAAAACAATCTGAATATCCAACAGTTGGAGGTGTACTGTGTTTTATTTATGATTGGATTGTGAAGCAGTCAACTGAATGTCATATTTTCAGATAATTAATGTCCTAAAGAATTGGTTGCTATGTAATAAAAATTGTTTAAATTGTAAAGCATTTTACAATACTAGTTTTGTTTTAAAATGCCATGCAAATGTACAAAAAACTAGAAGGAAATATATAAAATCTTCTGTTATATTTGAGGAAGGGATACTGGATAATTTTTTATTTTCTTTACATATTTCTGCATCTATGCATTTTTCTACAGTGAATATAATCAAATAATAAAATTGTAAAAATAAAAACTGGCTTAGGTAAAAGTTTTTTTTAAACCCTTTCTGTTAATAAATTTCAGATGGTATTATAAAGGGGGGGTGTGTTTTAAGGAAGTTACATCTTTATTCTGTTAAAAAGGAGGCCCATTGGCAGTCATACAGTCAGAACAATACTAGGGTTTGCAACAGCTTCCTGAGGAAAAGCCAGATGTTTAAGACTGAGCTGGTCTAATAAGTTAAACTGTAGAAAACTAAATACACACGTACGGGTAGTGTGTCACACATTTTTTAAAGTTAATATTTGTTTCAATTCCTTTTTTATTGAGTTATTTTACATGAGTTGGTGAGTTTTGTTTTTAATGAAAAGAGTGAAAGCATATTTTTACTCTTTTAAAGAGTGTAAAGTAAATATGCTTGTGTCTTTGAGATTGACTCCAGGATAATAAGCTGAGTTATCTGGGTTACATGTGACAGATTCTTGGATTTCCTGATGCAGGTGGATGATTATTAGAGATCCACGAAGAACCTAAGAATCTGAACTAGGGTTCTCCAGCTGTGTAGCTTAATTATTTTCACTACGCTGTAATACTGACAACACTACTTTTCCTTCATTCTCAGTAGGTATCTTGAGAATGCTTGGGCAAAATTGTGTGGACATTTGTTTTGCTGCCTTTAGAAAATAAAGCCATCTCCAACACGGAGAGGCATGTTTCTTGATTCAGTAGCCTTTTCTAGCAACCTCATTTGCAGACTTCCTAAATGAATGGCATAGTAGGGTCCTGTTTTATTTATTAATTGTTCACTTTGTATACAAAATCAGTATCATTCTCCGACCTTGTTTTAGGACATTGTCCAATGCCTTCTGGAACACTTCTCACTCTGATACACTACCTTAAAAAAAAAAAAATGAACACCATAGTAATTTTTGAGCATTTTTAAGTTTCCTCAGTGGATGAAGAGAATAATGGCTAACATAAAAGCTCTAGCTCAGTTACTTAGCCCACTATCAATCAGTAGATTTGCCTCTCCTTAGAAAGAAATTTATTGGCAATGTAATCTGCTGAGTGTTTGGCATTGGTTTTCATGATTTTAAGAATGATACCCTGAGTAGTTCACACTCAGATTTATGAGCCAAGAAGAATGAAAAGGTTTGGATTGGTAGGGTTTCCTTTAATACCTGAAAATATTTTGCAGATTACATTTCAGTTTGCCCACAACAGTTTCAGGGGAACACTGTTTGTCTAACAAGCATCCATAGAAGGATAAGAGGACTGGGAAGACCATGTGCCTTAGTTACATTTCCCATCACTGATACAAAATACCCAACTGCCAAGATTTTAAAGGAGGAAGGGTTTCTTTTGGCTCCCACAATCTAGAGGTTTCAGTCCATACCTGGCTGGCTCCAAGGCAGGGCATCATGGAAGAGGAGAAATAGTTCACGGCAAGCAGGCAGATGAGAGCCACAAGCAGCAAATCCAAGCAACCTTAGCAGCTTCTTTCTGCGCCTTGTATATTTGATCTGGGCTACCAGGCTTAGGGTTGGAGCCAAACCTAATCAGCCAGTGGACTTATTTAATAATTACCCTTAATCCCAGCATCACACACTCTAGGTCCAGCCACCTGTGAAAAGCCCCCACCTGTGTCTTCATGAGGCTTTGGGAGGACATCTAGACACAAGCCATGACACCATACCATGTAAATAATGGTCCAGGGACTGGTATATCTAACCGAGAAAAGCCTGAAGGATTTTACATATGTAAAGAATTGCTGTTTATTTGTAGACATCATTTTGTAAGCCTCCGTAAGGGCAGGAACTGTGCCTTTTTAAATTTAGTGTAGAAATCTTTGTATAACTGAAAATCTAATCACACTTCTTAAACCCCTTCATGGGCTTTCCCAGCCTCCATCCTGTATCCTGTCAGCGTTTGTGGGTTCTTTCACTGGTAGAACAGGCAGTGGGGCCGGGGATTTAGCTCAGTGGTTCCTCCGCCTGCCTCACAAGCACAAGCACCCGAGTTCGATCCCCGGGACTAAAAAAAACCAAAATAAAATAAAACAGGCATCAGGAGACAATATCCGAGGACCACGCACTGTATCAGTCAGTGCTTACTAGAGAAACATTTAATATAGGATATATAAATACATAAAAATTTACAAGACTGGCTTACAGTGTCTGCTCAGTCAGGTGTGGAAGAGTACAAAAGGTCTGTCTGCACGGGGGATCCAAAGGATCCATTTGAAGGCCTGAAGTTCACTATAGTGCCTGTTCAATGTGAGAATCCACATTAGAAGGCCAAAGGGTCTGCACCAGAAACCTGAAGGACTGGTACTGGAGGCTGAGGGTCTGTGGTGGAAGCCAGAAGACATGGTCCAAGGTGAAGCCAAAGCTCCCTCAAAGAAACAGAAGCAATCCTTCCTTAGTTTCCCTTTTGTACCATTCTGGTGACTCCTCCCAGGATGAATCTTCAGCACCAGAACTATGCTGCGCCAATCTGGCTGAGCATCTCTTACTCAAATTGATACAATCAATTAACTACCACATCCCTCAAACTCAGTTTTCCTTCTTGTCATCATTGGTGACAGTGCCTAAGCTTGAGAGTGTACCAGTATCCCCTTGGGAGCTTGTTAGATTAAATGGTCCCCTACTGAGTTTCTGATTCAGGAGGTCTGGGATATGGCCTGATAATTTGAATTTCTAACATTTTAAAGGATATAGTTGATCCAAGAACCCCGGTTTGAGAACTGCTGCCATAGCTGTTGCCTGACCAACATCATTCTAAACCCCTGACCTAGTCAAGGACATCACTAACAGTGATGGCTTTTATAATCTCTTTCCTTTTTATTGGATCATTTAGCACACAAATACACTCTATTATTAAATATGTCTTCGCATGTGTGTGGTGCTGGGGCCACATAATTCCTAATGAAATGCTCTACCACTGGGCTACATTCCCAGCCCTCCATTAAAATTCTTCACCCAATTCTGTGTGCTATTTATCTGATTTTTTGCCTGTTAAAAGCCTGTTGAAGAATTAACCTGTTCTCGCTGCTTCCAAGTCAGATTTTGCCGCCACCCTACCTTTAACAAAAGCAAAATTACTCTCAAGGTCACTTTTTTTTTACTTCCTTTCTTTTCCTCTCAGGAGCATTTGATATCCTGGATCCCATTCCTCTTGATAAACTTTCTTCTCAAGGAAGCCTCCAAGAATACCACACCTTTCTTTTTTTCTACTCCAACTCTTGCTGCTCCTCAGTCTTCTTTGCTGGTTTTGTCTTCTCCCTGATCTTAAGGTTGCCTACACCAGAGCTCAATCTTTGGAGATGACTGTCCCTGTTCCCCAATACCCTCTTTCTCAGCACTTGCACATCTCAATTATTGGCAGTTTCCATCTTTTGGGTTCCTCAAACCAAACCTTTGAGTCTTGACTCTTTCTAAAACCTTCGTTATCAGGAAACTGTCCCTCACTACAACTATATTATCCACCCAAAGCTCTACCACTCTCATCTCTCACCTGGACACTGACTGCAGTTACCTAACAACAGGTCTTCCTGATTCTCCTCTTACCTCTTATAATAACGCAGGAGCCAGAATGATCATTTTAAAACATGTTACTCCTGGGCCAGGGATTTAGCTCAGAGGTTCGATGGCCTGCCTTGCAAGCACAAGGACCCGAGTTCAATCCCCAGTACCAAAAAAAAAAAAAAAAAATGTTACTCCTCTACTCAGACTTTCACTAAAAGCCCAATCCTCAAGCCAGCTCATGGTTCTCCATATGATCAGCGTTTGCCCCCTTATCTCTGATTTCCACACTCATTTCCATCCTTTTCACTCACTCTGCTCCAACTCCACTGGCCTTGCTTTACAAGGACATTCCAGGCCTTCTCCCGTCTTTTAGCACCAGAGTATTTTGTTTCTGTTCCTTCTATGTGGAAAACCCTAGATAACTATGTGACTCATTATATCACTTCCTTCAGATCTTTGCTCAAAAAATGAGTCAACCTCCACCATCCTATTTTAAGAGGGCAGTGTCCCTCAATTTACACCCCAGCACTCCTGAAGACTTACCTAGCCAACTTTTCCTCATAGCTCTTACCTCCCAACGTGCTCTAGTATTTAAGGTGTGTATATTATTTGTATATTGTTGACACTATGCACACACACACATACACACACACACTAAAATGTAACCTATTGAGAGTGAGAATCTTCATTCAATGATATCCCAATTGTTCAGATTGGTGCCAGATTGTTTGTTTGTGGTACTGGCAATTAAACC